GGAGACTCACCATGCTCTGATTACGAGGAACGTGACCGCCCTGCAGGACTAGCTCTCAGTACTAAGTACCTTGATAAATACACGTAGCTGGTACCAGGACGGACTGTCCAACGAGCTCCCCGAGAAAGAGATGGAAGAGCTGCTGCTCAAGACAACGGCCAGTAATTCCGCCTATAAAACCGCATCCAAACATGTCAAGTTCCATGCCGCCCCCAAAACCGTCAAAGCGACGGCAAAGGCGGATGGCAAGCCGAAGGCGAAGGCCAAAAGCCGCCAGCGCTGATCACCTGGTCAGCGACCAGGGCTTTAAAGATTTTGGAGCCGGGTGCTACGGGGCCCCTCTGCTTCGATGTAGATGTAGGGCGGGGTGGCTGTCGAAACAATGCCAATTTTCTACATATTCTACATGTACATAAACCCGAGATGCTGCATTCCACCCTCGATCTCACCGGCCCTATACTAAATTTCATGTAGGCTGGCATTGTGGAGACAGTCGGTGCACCTGCACAATCCAAGCTGGGCCACGATTTTATCCTGTGCTTGATCATGATCTCTAGCGCTGTGTGTGCTCACCACGGCCAGCAATACACTCGAGTGATGTGTGAGTGCCTGCTTGCTTAAAATAATCGTGCAGTGCATGCTCACTAGTGTGCAATCCCCTTACAAGCTCTGAACCTTTTATAAGATTCACCCGCCCCCCCCGTCAGGGGATCGAGCCTTTGCCGACCACCTGCTCCTGAAGCTGGGAACTGGAGCCTCTGGACTTCCTTATAAAACCTAAAAAGCCACTTAAAAGCCCTTAACTCCAGATGGAACCCCGAATAAAAGCGCCATTGTCCACACCTTCCAACACCTTACTAGACGACTGAACGACTTGATCCTCGGAGAGACAGCATTCCACCACACACCCATGTATGCCCAGCAACCCTAAACAGGAAACCACCACCCCTAAGTCGACTAGCCAAGTAAACCCACCCCTGATTGTAGACTCCACAGGAACCGAAGTGAGACTGCTAGAATCGCCACCGTCGGTGTCCTGATCGTCGTCGTTGCAATTGCGGTTCTGGTTGTGGTTATATAGTTGGGGCTGTGGGTTACGGTTGTACTTGTGCTTGTGGTTGTTGGTGTTGTTATCGATGGTCTTAGTCGTGGTGGTGGTGGTGGTGTGGTTGCTGTTGCTGCCGCTGCTACTACTATCTACTCTGTAGTAAATACTATACACATGTGTAGCCACTACTTCCGCCACTACTACCTATAATATGTATATATATATATATAATATGTATATGCCAATATATCATGACTTCTGGGCCTACGTCTACCACTTATTATGCTTCTGTTGTGCATGCTATAAAGCTACAGGGCCCAACCTTCATACTGTATAGTACCCATACAACAACAATGCAATGCTCAGGCATCAACAGCTGCTGCGATGCAACAGGCTGCGAGTGCCATGCTCATCGAGTCCAAAGGACATGCATCATACATCACACGCAAGATGGCAGCTGCGGGCTGCCACGGAAAGCATGTCCAAAATATTGGTCGCGATATCTACAGAGCTCTTGACATTCCCATAGTTTCTTGATCTCTCTAGTTTACCTTTTTAAGCTTGTCCGTTGTAAGTGGTAACTGATATTAATGGTGCATTCGTAGTACCAGCAAGATCCTGACAAGGAGCCGTTCCATGTCACGGTGCCCATCAAATGTCGAGACGACCCGACCAAGGAAACCGATTTTCGGTGCCCTATAGCTTTACCGCACGAGCTTTATGCTTTGCTGGCCGAATCCCTGCTGAATATGAGTGGCACTTCGTTTTAAGATACTCCCGCAGTACAATTCTTAGGGATGTTAACCTATATGGTTATCTGAGTTATTTGTGCCTGTGTCGATGTGTGTGTGTGTATATGTATGTATGTATGTATGTATGTATGTATGTATGTATGTATGTATGTATATATGCATATAAGAAGTTTCCGTGAATATTAGGGGATTTAGGGGCATGTACTAGTCGATCTTGCCAGGGGTCTAGGGACAGTTCTGCTGAGGACACCGGGCGCCTCCGGGTTTCTGCTGCAGAGATCAGCAGCTACTGGGAGCATACAGCCAAGCGGCATCCTTTGGGCAAGGAGGTTGTGGGCTTTGCTGAGCAGGCCAGTCCATTGGGAGTTTGGGGCGACGACGGGAGGTTCAACCGCTCCGGGCAGAAACTGATCGTGTTTACTGTCAATGCTTTGTTACACAAAAGCTCTCGAGACTCGGTTCATTATAATTCAGAAGAAGATTTGCATATTGCATATCGATTCAGAATTCGACGTCCTTACGACCCAATTCCCCATATCCTCTAGCTACAATTCGATAAACCTGGAGCCTTGTCAGCCTAGCATGTGAAGGAACGGAAATGAAGCGGTATCCACTTTTCTGTATCCGCGAACATCTCTGTATACCTGATCGCACACTCCGACCCATTTACAGAGTGCTCACCTGGAGCTTCAATGATACCCGTGCTCAATTCTCAGAAAGTTGTGCAGATCTAGAGATTTATAAACTCGAAGTATGAGCATCACCCTTCCCCGCATTAGATCTATCCCAGGCTTTGTTCGATGCCAAGCATCCGTGCTTTGACGTGGATGGTGGGCCACTCCCAGTGCACATGGCAAAGAAAGCTGGCTTGGAGATTGATGGAGGCTACCATTATTAAATTATTCTGGCTTCAGGGTTTCATCAGGTTCGTTTTTTAGGATTTATAAGGAAGTTTGGGAATCGACTGCTCTAGAGGGCAATATTGGGCTTCGGGTTTTAGGGTTTCGAGTTTGGGGTTTAAGCTGTTAACGTTATTATAAAAGTTATTATAATTTAGGATAAGTCTCCTGTGACTTTTAGGTCGGCCTGCTGTCGTTGTGCAGCACAGGGGTGACTGGAAGTGGATGAAAGAGTGCTGGAACTTGAAAGCGTATTATCATCACAAGTGTTCTTCTGCTTGCCACATGTGCTCAGCGACGCACACCGGCCCTGACTCGTGTCTTGCTTTGCATGATATGATCCAATATACCTTCGGAAGAATTACACCGATCGCGAGTTTCTGTGGAGCCGGGATATCTGAGGTGGTCCAAAAGCCTGCTACGAGAGTTCCCTCGGAGGAGCCACGCAGGATGCTTGGCTCGGGCCATGGGAGACCTCAACCCGATGGTGCTTCTGAGAGGATTCCGATGTGAACAGATTAAGTCTTGCACACTACATGTAGCGAACCTTGGATTCGTGCAGACCCACAACGCGAGCATTTTGCTTGTTCTCCTGCACTATAGCCCCGAGGCTGGCAACAACACATCCAAAGTTTTACGTTTAGCTATAGTGAATCGATCAATATTAACAACACCAGCCTCAGCTGCAAAAGCCCAGAAGCTATATTTAGACGAAACCAAATTTAAACACCCGAGCCTTAAACCATGATGATGAGCTCCGAAACAAGTGTTGTTGATAGCCGGTTGCTGATTTAGGTCTAGACCCCGAAAATGCTACAAATGAGGTTTCTGGGGGCGTTTTCCGGAAGAAGCCGGAGCTGCAGCACTTCGTGCTGTGACCTTCGCCTTCAAGAAGTGGGCAGCTTCCCACACACCCAAGCTTGAGTATCCGGGCTCTATAGATCTAGCAGGCTACTAGAAATCGTGAACTTAAGTTTTTGTTCAAGATATCGTGTTCGCTGTAAATTCAAGCTTCTTAAGGCATTCGATCCAGATCATCACCGTCGGTATGCTTCATGATCGAACGTCAGATGCTGGCGAGCATCCGTGCCTCACACTGAAGGGGTGGAATTCTCGAATCTTTCTGGCGTATCTGGACCACTGTCTCGAAGAGCAGCTTCGCCGGAATGCTGAGTTCGGGAAATATGATTCAGAACTTGTATTGGCGATGAAGGCGACTCGAGCGCTGCTTCTGTGGTTCTGTAAACAGGAGTCCGCCCACGTTCTTTATCTGACGGAACAGGAAGCGATCGACATTTCGACGGCTGCAAATACTTACCTCGAGTACGCTGAAGCGCTTGCTCGGTATGCAAGCCAACATGGATGCATGCGCTGGAAGGTCTTGCCAAAACACCATGTCTTTTGGCGCATATATAGGATGTGTGTGTGTGTAGGTTTGTTCCGGTCTCCCCAGATAGTTTCCCGACTTCGCATCATGATCATCAGCGATTCGTTCCCTGCAGGTTTTCAAACACCTGAGCGAAAACGTCATGAAGGACTTGTGGAATCCACGAGGATTCCACACCTACGTAGATGAGGATTGTATGTTGCAAGTCAAGAAATTAGCGAGTCAGATGCCATGCACAGGCATGGAGGAAAGACTGCTTTTGCGGATTTTCATCCGCCTCAGTGTGACGCGTGTGAGGTGATGGGGGGTCCTGCCGAAAAGATTCGACTTTGTGTGCTGCCAAGCCCTCGGTTGTAGAATAGTTTGAACACCCAGGGGCTACTTTCGACCCTTGCTCCCCAAGCCTTGTCTTTACCTGAAATCCTCCTCAAGTATGACAACGAAAATCGTGATCATTGACTTATTTAAGGCAAAGTTCGGATTTAGGACACACGTTGGCAATGTATGCTTCTGCGGCTGACTTTGGAGCCTCTGGGTAGGGTTTTGGGGGCTCCGTATTATAATTATAGTATAATGTACCCCAAACCCTATTCTAATTGTTAAGGCTCCTATATTAGGGGCTGATATCTGCCATGGTTGTATATCGCTGGGAGGCTTGATAATGTTGGCGACTGGTGATCACGCATGGTGTTTTGAAACTTGCAGCAGCCGCGGCTCACCAAAACCAAAACACGGGACCATCAACACAAGTTTATCCACATCACGGAGGCCGGAGCGAGAACAACCACAGAACTCTACGAAAATGCACACAAGTTTGGAGGATCGCATGTCGTATGCCAAACCACTTGACAGCTTTGTTGCTGCAGCATGGTGGGCTTCTGAGTCTGCCATGGTATCTTCTTCCACGATCCGGCCTGCAGTCTCCAAGAGATGATCGTCCCAAACATCCAGCAGCATCACGGCACAAAGAACCTGCAAACCACGCGGGACTCCGGGGCTGTCGCGGTTTTATAGTCAGTCTACGGCCAAAGACGCCCATGTTGGGTGCGAGGGACACGGCCAAGCCTCGACCAATGAAGCCGGCTGCATCGGCTGGCCTTGTTGCAGCCTGCGTTTGTGAGGGGATGGCGTCCGCAGGGCAAGCTGAACATCAAGGATTGAACATAAACAACCAGTGCCAGTCTATCCAGGGCGTCGGTGTTGCCGAGGAGGAATCTGCAGGATACACTGCCCGTGCTTTATGCCCCGATGCTGTCTGGTGGACATCAACATCGCAGCAAGGGGGTGGGCCTTCTTTCCTACATGTGTCCTTAAACCTTCGGACCGAAACCGAAAGCAAGCTGAAACTGAGGCCCTGACCGCTGCAGCAGGGAACGAACCTGTAGCTCACACGTTCGATCTCCATAAGGACTCTATATTGTGTATATATATATATATATATATATAGGTACATATGCATGTGTTATATGGTATGTTATAACTGTATACAGACTATAAGTTATAGGTTGTATATCATATTTTACCTAGCCTCTCCCTTGAAAAGCTTGGACCTTTGCACTCGGCATCGGCCTGGAAGGAAAAGCTTGAACAACACGGATGCAACGGATTGTTGCTCTATCTCGGCTTCAACTGTCACGGTATACATCTTATGCGTATAACTAACTAAATAAATAAATACATAACTATATACATTTTACATGCATATATATATATATATACACATAGAGGCACTGAATTATGTGTGTGTATATGTATATACACACATACGAAAAAAACACAATGTATACGCATATCTCACGGTGCCGTTGAAGCGCTGCGCGACATGCGGGCAGGCCACGTAGCCATTTGACTGCAGTTGTACCAGTTACCAGCTTTGGAGATTAGCCCTAGCAAAGGTTTGCTGTTGTGGTTTCGTCCAGACTGCTGCGAACAAGGTCAAGTGATGTGATGAATGTTGGACATGTGCTGCAGTCGCGCCCAACAACTGGCGAACGCAGGCCGAACTGACTTATGTTCCCAGTGTTCTTCACTCACCCCCTTTGAGTAAAACTCAAACAGGCTAGCCAAAGATCTTCCAGTCCTGTAGTCGCATCGGCAACAGTCCACATCAACTCTGCTCTGAGGTCCATGGCCGCGTCTTTCCTGCCGGGGACCTTGGCCCACATTATGCCACATCTGAGATGAGGGCAAGGGCCGGCAAGGAATGCCAAGGGTTCGGGCCTGGAAGACAAGGCCGACGAAATGGAACATCCTGCTCTTCGTTACGAAATAGCCACGTACTGCCGTATAGCTACCCACGGGACCTTCAAGCGGGCCAGGGAAGACTTGTCTTTCCGGATGGTCCCAAATTGTAACAGGACGCCTAATACGAATACTCGTTCTCTCTCGCTATCTCTACTTGCTTTGCTTTGCTTGGGGTCAGCGCTCTCTCCCTCTCTCTGATACATTCATACGTACGTACGTACTTCTTCCTTCGCCGCAAGTTCGCAAGGGTGATGTTGCGATGCGAGGGCGGCATGTTGCCATCCGGTCCGCGGCATAAGCGATGGCTTCGTGGGCATAGGTACATACGTACATACATGCATACATACATACATACATACATACATGCATACATACATGCATACATACATACATACATACATACATACATACATACATGTCGAAACGTAGTTGTGTCTACCTACCTATCTGCCAAGATATCTATCCACCACCATCCACCAACCTGTCTCTACCTCTCCATGAGATGAGCAACCCCGTCACGCTCCATTGAAACAGCCGGGCTCGCTGCCAGGCGGGCCAGGGCTGCCAGCACCGTGCAGGTCTGCCCTCTCAAAGTCCGAACCATGCGGTGAACGGGGAGTAAGGGCTTGGGCTTGCGTGGGGTTGGGAGGGAAGGGTGGGTGCAACGGTTGGCGTAAGGGATTTCATGGGTGGCTCAAGGACGGACCGGGGCTTGCAGGCCTTCTGACCCACATGCCTTCGACAATCACGAGAACACCGAGCAAACTCGGAGCCTACATGAGCCTACCACAGGCAACACAGATGCTAAATCTACTCCCTCCGACAAATACTTCCATGATCTTCGATGCTCGAAACGGCGCAGGGAGTGTTCTCCTATCGGCAAGCAGCCTGGCGTGAGCCGGCCCGCCGTCGCGGTGCAAACCGAAGCAGCAGCCTGTCACACAAAAGAAACGCATCCTAATTCCAGGTGTTGACAAGTGTTGTGCAGCCCCGGTTCGACCAAGAAAGTATGATACAGATACCATCCATTTAGGAGCTTTACGTAAAGGCTGCATGTCTGAAGTGGACTGTGACTGGACCATGCCATAAACAGCAGGACTCTCCATGTGGATTTATGAACCGAGAGCTGGACTTAAAGCTGCACGCACTACCCCTGTCCTATCATCTATACGACTTCAAAGACCAACTTGCCACCTCGAGCGCCCTCGACTCAATGGGAGATGCCGCCCTGAGCCACCACGGCCGATGCTAGGTCCGCATCGTGTGCAGTGTCAGGCGATGGAAACTTTTGTGAATACCGCATAGGCTTCTGTCTGCGATTCGATGCAACCGTCCATCTAAAGACAACAGGATGACAATCTGCATGGTGGACTTTAAAGAGACTTGCAGGCAGCGACGGCCATCAAAATATATACTATAGATTGTAACTTCGCTACGAAAGCTTTCTGTGCCCGTGCGGCGAAGTGCTCGGTGCCCGGCACGCTGTCGGCCGTGTGCTTCTTTGCTTGTGCCAGTGCCCAAAGTGCGGCGGCCTGGGATGAAGAGGGGTCACACCTGTGAGTGAGCGGAACAAAGGGTGAACTGTGAAGGTTGCAAAATGATTTGCTGTGCTTCTGTTCTGCGACTGACATCTCCCCTGATGCTTCGGCATTGCTTCGTAGCCAGTCTCCAGCTTGTTGCGGCAGTGTAGTGGGGGTGGCGGGCGGGAGCAAGTTCGGTCTGAGCGACTCGCAGCTTGGGGCTTCAGAGGGCGATTCAAAGCTATCTGAAACGCAGGTCCTAGTAATTAAGGGATGTCAGGTATGACAGATGACTGTAAGACTGAGGCTGACGGTGGTGCCAATAACCAAATAATCCCAACATAATCAACCGCTGCCAGGATCTTCTAAGAACGCTCAGACGCTCAGCACTTCATGCTCTGAACCCATCACATCGGTAGAGTCTTCGAAGCGTCGCTTGGTTGCTTGAGCCGAGGTGCTGGCAAGCTCGTCAGCAGAAAGCCTGGTGTGGACGTCGCGTGGGGCGGTCAAGGTTCGTGGGCTTCGGCGCTCACACTCGGACTCTCCAGGCGCAAGCCGACGGCTCGAGGCCTCAAGCACTGACTTGAAGAGGATATAGACTCCCATGGTATGGTGACATGATGTACATGATTTTTTCCGCCGGCAGTAAGCCCAAAGCCTAAGGTCGTGCTGAAAAGTCCGAGGCAAAACGCCGGTGCGTTCCTCTGGCCATGCACGTCTTCCGACACTTCGATAAATGGCCAGGAAACTACCGGAGCTGATATCGCAACCTCCCAAATTGACGCGGGAATCCCAACATCTGCACGAGATCGGATTGTGACTTTCTTGGAACAAGTTTGGCATTCCGTGTTGGTCTAGCTTGGGGCTGCCAATTTCGTTGTCGAGATGTGCATGCTCAACTTAATGATGTTGTGAGGGCCACCTGCAAGTGTCCTGAAGCGAAATCATGGTCTGAACAATTCATGGTAGTATCCCGGTAACAGTAGTCCCAATACCATAATTATAGTATAATGTGCCCCAACTGTTCTTACCGGTAGTATCCCGGTAAAAGTTTTCCCGATACCATACCACGCAAAAACTTGGATTCCGACGACTGCCAAGCGCCCGCAGCATCGAAGCGCCTGGGCCCATTAGCCAAGTTATTTGCAAGTTCCAGCTGTCAAGCAATGAATGCAGTGTGCATGTACAAACATACACACATGCCTACGTATATACATACATACATATTATGCTACATACATACCTGCATATGTACATACACACATACGTGCACATCTATCTCTGTATATACAACATGATATACACATAGACATCACAATCGAACAGAGTGTAAAAGCATAATGTAATGAAGTGTACGTAATCTACTGCAACTGAATGCAATATAAATATGCAGTATGCGTAACATAGTCTTACACTGCAATACAACGTAAGATACTACAATATATTGCAGAGCTGAGCGGTCGGTAGCATGGGAATCGCAGCGCCAAGGCTCTTCTGAAACTAACAATACTATAAATATAATAAGGAACCCCAAAGAGTAAAGGTAATTATTTAGGCCCCTATACTAGATGGAAAGGGCAATACGCGAGGCTGGCAGGTTCACGGGTGTAGGATGGGTGTGTTCACGGCTGTCACTTATGGAGTCTTGCGGGTCTGCCTCGATTTTCCGGATTTTCGACATAACGCACCGGCACAGTATCGTTTCAGGTTCATATGCTTTCCGTGTCTACGAGCATCCTCGAGGTTGCGTATCATGGAGTATCTGTTTGACAGAACGCCTGGCAGGCTCCCCAACTCTTTTTTCTGCTGCTGCTCTATGCAACAGTTGGTGCCATCCGGCTCGCATTAGACTGGCCAGCGGAGTTGCTGAGCCATGCAGCTCTACAAGCGCAGTTCCTCTTTCAGGAAGTTTGGTGCACGTGCCCATGCTCGGAAGTATTGCGTTGCTGCAAACCAGCTTCGAAGGTGTCCACATGCAAGTGGATATGAGCCCCCAACCCCCCCGACACCACGAGAACTCAAAACGTTAATACGATGTGTCTCTGCCATGTCGACGATCTTCTGCCTATGCCTCGGATGTTGGTGTGACCATATTCTCATTGCACACAGTTTGGCAGTACATGGTGCCAAACACTCTGATAGATTCTGTGTCACAGCTGGGTGCCTCCACACACAGAGCCATGCTACATCATGTCGGTAAAGATTTTGTGGTAATAAAAACAGCAATATGAAATATAGCAATGTACTAAAGTAGCTATAGTCTTAAACTTAAGGTGTGACCAAAACTCCAAGATCAGAAATTGCCGGCTACTCTCGGGCACGTGCGTGATGTGGCTCGGCGCCCCAACAAGTTACTAAGAATCCCACAGCCATCCGTCCGTGCGTAGACGTTTAGAGGGTTTGCGCAACAGAAGCTATACAGTTTTACACTACGTCCTCGAAATGACAGCATTTCAGCTGCCGTACAACATTCCGCTATCTATCTCCGGTAGATGTCTGAAACACAATGCTCACCTGGTGTTCGGCTTCTTATGCCACTAACCAACGACAACTCATGAATACCTTCAGACAAGTCCATTCCACTTTCCACTTCAGGTGGCCAACTTTCCACTTCAGGTGGCCAACCAATTTTTGTAGGTTGCCCTCTCGGTCTTTCACGCAACATCATCTTTAAGCATCTTCAATTCGTCAAACGAACTTGTAGGGGTTTGCCATTGTCGGGTCTTTTCAAGGTCTAGTAGGATTTGGGATGTATACAGAGGCATGCAGATGGAAAGAAACCTAAGTGTGAACACATACACGTAGACATATTTGAGTAACAAACAGAAGAAACATACGCAAAACCAGCAAGCTCAACTTGTACCAGCACAGCCTCAAGATGCAAAATCAAAACACCATCGTAGATCACGTAACCACAGCCTACGATTCAGTAGAACCTACATCCACATGAGCAAATGCGGGATCCGGAGCGAGGTTCAAGATCCACGACTCGAGCTCTCGAATGTTGGACAATCCCACGCGAGGACCTATCAACCCGAAACTGTGTTCCCGGTAGGGATAGTACTGAGATCTGGCCTGATGAGAAATTGAATCATACATAATTTGGAAGGATAGTGTGGCAGAGTGTCGCCCTGCGCTACCAGCCTCCCTTTCGCAGACTGGCGCGGCTGATCAGTTGGTCTCACGCGGCCGGGGTCGGATCCCTGGGTCACACGCAAGGCTCATGGCAGCTGCAATGGTCAGGTACATGTACACTTGCGCGGAGCTGGAGACACAGGCAATTCAGGCCTACAGCCGAATATATGTGTGTGCGGTATACGTGCCTCTACATGGACGGAGGTTCATGCTACGCACACTTGCTCATCAAACACACACCCACACACACACACACAACACGTAATACGATTATGACTCTGACTAGGTGAACCCATATGGAAACATGATGACGCACCTTCATTGTACATCAATGTAGAATCCTGTGGCAAACCACTTGAAAGATCTTGAAAGCATGTTTAGCCACGTCAGGAGTATTACCGAAAGCAAACACCGGTTCGCGTTCTGCAGCTGTGTCGCTTCTTGGTCCAAACATCCTTGGAAGAAGGCACCAGTTTCGGGGCACATGCTATGCAGCCTCTTCTCACCAACCTCACATGCTGCCGAGCCACTACCTGAAGAGTGTGCCCCTCGAACATGCTGCCATTGAGCATAGCAATCCTTAACGACTCGAAGCAGTGTGTTCAATGGCTTGTTTCGGTCAGGTGATGTGTTATTTGCGAGTTGTTAATCAGAAATGTTCTCTGGGAGTAATGTCGGAAAGAGGCCTCGTGCCTGAACTTGAGTCCAGTACCAATGTGCAACTTCAGATAACGAATGTGCCTTGCGTGACAAGGTCACATGACTGGTGCAAGTTTTTTCAATGGCGCCCGTAGAGACCCTCGGAAAAAGGCCATGGACTCAGAGCCAAGCAAACATCGCAACGGAAGCCTTGTTATACGCACTTCGAGCGGCGCGTTCTGACACTCCTCCGGGGTCTTGAAGACGGCATGGCCTTGAACAAACTTTGGATTCGAAAGCCAATGTTACTTGGAAAATACCATTCCTTTGTTAGCCCCTCCACGGCGCTGCCTCTCCTGCCGGTGCGAACCATGAAGCAGCGAGTTCAGCTCTATCTGATTCCCAGCTTTGTCGTACTGCAGAGGCCAGGAGACTTAACACAACATCCTGTTATGTGTAGCATTAACCGCTGCAGCCAGCAAATGCACAAGGCTTGCAGCACGGGAGAGCAGGCTTTACCAAAACTATAGGCCGGGCGGTAGAGCACATTATAAGGTAGCTTGCACCCGAAACCATGAAACCACAATGCTGCGCTTTCTGCCTGACGGGCCTTCGCCCTTCCAGCCGACTTCCGCCCAAATACATTCTCCGGCTTGGCACATGTGTTCCTGAAACTTCCATGAAACGGAGATAACATGTTGATCGCAATACGGTGGAGGTTTGTGCAGTCTGCTATTGTGCAGGTGTTGAGCCGTTGCGAGTCCAGTAGTAAGTCATTAGTACTCAGGCCTGTCGGGGTTCCATGTTGTGATGAAACCACAAATCCGATTCATAAACCCCAGACTGTAAGCCCATATAGTTTCTAAACCTCAAGCCCTACAAAAACCCTGGCATCCAAGCCCCTAAACCGTAAACCCCAAACTCCCTAAACCGCCACTCCTTCAGCTTCTTGTTGGTCTCGACGCTGGTCGACTCGGCCGGCCAACCTCCGATCCTCAGATCTGGCAAACCTGTGGCAAAACATATAGTATGTTACAGCAAATAGTATGTTATAGCAAAAGCCTTCGTGCAGTATAGTGTAGTGAAATAGTATTAGTCTAGTATAGTATTGGTACAGTATAGTACGGTGCAGGCATTATTGTGTAAGGTGTGCTGTGGCATGGTATAATATGTATGGCAATGTCACTGAAACTCATGTTGCCGTGGAGTTGTGTCTCAGGCGTCAGGGGCTGTCGAATTCAACTGTCGCAACACTTGCCTCAATAAACAACCTGATAAGAACTGATCTTCCTGGCATCATCGAAGTACTGCCGCGAAGGGACCAAACCTTCTTGTCGGCCGGCACTCGGTACCTGAGGTTCGACACTTTGTCTGCTTTCCAGCGAGGCCACATGAGTTGCATGAACTACATAAACCCCTTTTGCCACCGCTATTTGCCGGCCGAAAGGTCTGAGGGCAATCTTATGCAGCTGAAAAAAACCGAAGTCTCAAGTTTCCTGCAGTGGAGGTGTCTGTCCTCTTGCCGGGACGGAATCTGTTGGGCAGCCATGTGCCTGAAACACCCTTCAGCACTGTAAGGTCTGGTTTCTAGCTGAAGCAACCTGTATGAAGGAAGCCGCCATAACTTCAGCGAAGCTGGATTATTCTGCCGAGGCTGGACATTCACCATGCACATCACATTATTTTTTCGACAAGGAGCTGCTTGCCTTTGCCCTTGCCCTTCGACATCATCACCTGTCCGAATTTGCAACGATGATAACAGTAGTCATGGTACGAAATTTAACATGATTGCAATTCTAGTTGCATTCCAGCTACAACAACTGTGCCTGATTAGACAGACCAACGATGACCTTGTGGTTCACTCTGGATTTCATCATGGCTGAATGTCGAAATCCAGAATCTAAGCTCTTCTACACTGCATCGGTATGGCTCCTGCTAGTACAAAGGGGTTGGGGCGTTAGTAGTTTGTGTTAGGCCCATGATGCTGGGTTTGGGAGGAAGGCGGTTACGGGTTTCTGACTGCGGGTCTCTATGGACGCCCCGGAGTGCTCTTCTCCGTGGTCCTTCACATTTAGTCTCGAAGCACTCACAACTGTAAAAAAACAACAATGCTTGAATGCTCAAGGTTTGGAGGTTGACGGAGGTTTGCGGTTGCATTCTGGCCCACCTTCATCATCGTCATGAAGTTGTAGGGCATTCCCCAGCCCTTGCCCTTGCCTTGGCGTTTCGGACCGATATCTGCCGATGTCAGGTTTCAGGCTATGGGAGCGCTTCGCCGTTGAGTCAGCCAGGCGGTTGGGTCCGGGAAGGCTGAGGGCGCTGTGACACGTCTCCTATAGCCTCGCATCTCTACGGCCAGCGCTGAGTCTGGAAATGTCCGGAATGAGAACACGCATTCGACTAGAAGCTCAACCATCAGGCCGAAATCCGGATTATTTCAGACAGGCATGCCGCCTCAAGACCACCCACTCTTCCTGTCAACCTGTCAGCGACACTCTCTGCTGGAACAGACAATGACAAGGCGCCCTTGCCGTCACTGCCCATGGTGAGTGATGGGACGAAAGGATCTCAAAACCAGAGCCGGATAGCAGCTACGGAAGCAGAGGATGAGCAGTTGCCGCCTGTGGGGCTCAAAGCTCCGTGCCTCAAATGTCCGGAAGGTGGGGAAAGCAGAAAACTACCACATGAGGCAGAGGCAAACATCTATACGGGCTCTGATGAAAGCAGACAACGATGACTTCTTGAAGGCTTCACACCCAGGCTGCGACTGGAAGAACAGCTGCTTCAGAACCTTCGTGTCCTGGCTCAACCTGGAACGAAGCATTCTTGCAGCCTTCAGGGGGACGTCCCCAAGGCTAGAGACTCTATCATCAAGCAGAAGCGATGAAAACAAAAGAGGTGGGCCCTAGGCAGCCCAGTACACGTCGCGAAAAGGGGGCCTTTCCAAAAACATGCAGAGGCTCCCGAAATACGCCTTTCCAGAAGGAGCCGTACCCCCTCCCTAAACTCGAAAAGTCCTAATCCCTAAAGATGCGCCACAGTCACCAATTCTGGCCTCCCGCTACATCTGCCCGATTGCCACGAATTCACCGAAGTGGCCTGTAATAAAAACAATAATTATTTTACTTCGAACGTCCCCACCCTGCAGATCATGGATATGCGAGGCGTATACAAACTACTGTATAGTAAACTGTAAACTCTATAGTGTCACGGTAGTCTCTGGGGTTGGGCACTCCAGGGAGTCTCACTGTGGTCTTTGGGGTTGGGACTGGGTTGGGCACTCCAGGGAGTCTCACGGTCTCTGGGCTTAGGCACTCCAGGGAGTCTCACGATAGTCCGTGGGGTTGGGCACCAGGGAGACTCACGATGGTCTGTGGGATTGGGCACTCCAGGGAGTCTCGCGGTAGTCTCTGGGGTTGGGCACTCCAGGGAGTCTCGCGATAGTCTGTGGGGTTGGGCACTCACAGGCAGTCTCTGGTCAGTGGGCGAGGAGTAATAGCTGACTTTAAAATCGAAAAACCCCACACCGAGGGCGGGGAATAATCACCATCATCATCATCATCAACATCATCAGTGGCATGATCATCCACATCATAAATGCAACAATACTAATTATAACGAACAAAAATAACAACAAATAATGATATCGATAATCATAATAACAACAACGAAACCATACGAAACATAACAATAATCATAAGAAAACATTATCATCAAAATCATAATCATAATAATAACAACAACATTACTGGAATAACAGAAACACTATCAATAAGAAGAGTAATAGCTTACCATACATCACTAATGCTACTACACTCTGCTACAACCACAACTTGACTACCATGCTCATTCTGAACCACCTCCCAAGAGCGCAGAGCCTGGCAACAGACGCCGCGACCGAGGCCAACTCGTCTGCTCGGAAGAGCTGGGCCTCGTTAAGGGTTCAGGGTTTTTCGGTTTAGGGTTTAGGGGTTTAGGGGTTTAGGGTATAGGGTCTAGGGTCTAGGGTTTAGGGTTTAGGGTTCAGGGTTTTTCTTGTTGACACCTTTGTCCGGCTGCAACGGGCTTAGAGGTTTAGGTTTGGTTTTTTGTTTTACTAGCCCTTTTCCGCCTGCCCAAAGGTTAGGTTTAGGGTTTTAGGGTTTAGGGCTCGGCGCTTTCGGGATGCGAACACGAGGCAGGCAGGAGGAAACCCAGGAGGCAGGGATATGCAGGGATGTTTTGCCTCCTGCATGGTTGAGCGAGTCACGAAGCAGGGTTCTCAACAGATTACAGTAAGTTCGACCTCAGGGTTTTTACAGCTATTTTGGTGAGGACACCGAGTGCGCGATGGGTGGCATGGGACTTAGTTGCGTTTCGGATCTAAAAAAAACTTTGTCGGCAACTTGCTAGGGGCCTTCAAGACCGTCAAGAGCAATGGGGTTTACGGGATTTGAGGCCTGAAATTGCGGTCTTTTGCCTCTGTTTAACCCGTCTTCTTGAATGCTAAGTTTAGAATTCGGAGCTTAGGACTTAGCGCTGTATGTAGGTGAAAACAATTACATCGAGCAAGCCTGATCCAAGCAACATAAAAAAAAGTACGCCGGCGTCTTCTTCCCAACATAGCCCAAGACGAAACCAAAACCTCACAGCCAAAGCCCTCTTCTGCCCAACACCCCTGAAGACTGTCTGAATTGGCTAGCTCTGCCTAACCGATGCCTCGAAGTTGTCCTGAATCCAAAGCCCCGGGCTGTCTGACTGTCTAACTTGAAGATCGATGGCCCTGCGCAATATTCCAAAACACAACGCCTAGCGGCAAGATCGCAAAAAACTGAACCATCAACTTCGAATCGACTTCGAAGTCTTCACATCTCTTGAACCTAGGTCATCCCCTCACTGGCGGTACTCCGCTGAACACCCCCCCCCCCCTTCCTGAGTGCGGCGTGGCGGGGGGGATAGAGAAAGTAAAGTTCAGAGGCCAAGGGGAAGGCAAACTAAACTCAAACTGTGAACCCATTTACCCACAACCGCCTTGGCTGTGGCTGCTTTCGACAGTGCTCCTGGTCTCAAGGCCATGCACTGGCTGTGCATTCCATGGCTTTCAGGGCGGTTTCGGAAACTCAAGTTTTCAGCCGCGCAAATTAGCAAAGTGCATGAGGGTTTCGATTTTGAGGCTTGTGACTTGGGCAATTCGTCAACCGATGCTTAGAATTAGAACTTGTTACAGGGTTCCGTTAACAAGTGCCGTGAAGCCTCGAGGCTCAAGGAGGGCTTCCGGGTCCCTGGCTCTCGCTCTCGTTCCCTGGGGAGTTCGAGTCAAGGCATCTGACATGACGGGATATACCTACTGGCTGTCAGGGCTTCATAGGTTGCAGGCCTGTTGAACACATTCACGGCTTTGTGATCGGAGAAAGCCGTATCAAGAATCACAATACCAGCAAAACTGACGAATAAGACCCATTCCTGTGATGCCAGAAACGGCAGGAAAGAGAATGTGCTTCTGTCGCGTGATGGGCGTGATGACGTGATGTCGTCCACAGTTCAGAACACCGCCCCACCAAAAATCTACACCATGCAGATGAGACCCCCACATGTTTGAGTAATCCCTCAGTTCCTGAATCACTACCCCGGGGCCAGGGCCCCCACCTAAAAGCTCCGTCTGCGAGGACCAGCCGCCGACTGGAGGTGGTATATTTGGCTGAAAGCTTGCAAGACGAACGCAGAGTCCACCCTAGCCACTCAGCCAAAGATTTATTGATTGCCGCCATCCAATCACCCAAAAAAACTTTACTTGAAGCATTTCTCCCTCTTCCAACACTTCCTGCATTCACACGGGGGCAGGGAGGGCATCTGGTGATTTGAACTCGCTACTCTCGGCCAAATGCTCTCCGGAAAAACATACTTAATACATGAGGGTGGTTTTGCTAATCCAGGGAAGCGATTACGGAGCGATTGCTACTTATTAGTCTTCTTCTGCTGCTGGTACTTCAAGCCTACAATAGGATAAATGAGAACAGCACTGATAGCAAGTAACAATCCGTGCCAACGAAAGCAATTACAGGAGTAATCATGATAATAACACTAAGAATAACAATTACATATAGTGATAGTAACCATCATAATAATTGCAATCGCAGTGCGAACACTCTTCTGCAAGCGGCCTGCTGCAGCCCAAAGCACCCCTGTCAGCTCTTGCGTCCGGAACCTCGGGGCGAAGGTCCATCACGGCTGTTCTAGGGTTTAGGGTTTTTTTCCCTGGTTTAGGGTTTAGGGGTTAGGGTTTAGGTCTTCTGGGGATCTTTGACACGCACCCAGCAATCCGGAACAGCCTAGCACCAGAATGCACCCGAGCTTCAGAAGGGGCAAAAACAAACCTACGCCACAACCGACCCCACTTCCACGACCGAGTACGACTAGATCAGCATGGCTCCCGTGAACAGACCTTTACTATCAACTCTGCAGGCGGATAACAAACAAACCCCTTAGCAACACCAGAGTCCAGGCCTTCGGCAGACATGTCAAAGGCTCTTCTTGAAGCTCGTAAACCCCAAAACCCTTAAACCCATACTTTTTGACACTCACACTCGGACAAGTCTGGCGAGGTCTGTGGCGATACGGATTAGAACCCCCTCCCACCCCCCCCCCCTCCCCCCAAACCCCGCAACAAAGCCCTGAAGCGGAAACTCCATGCACCACCACCGGACCCCCCGGCTCGGCAGCCAATGCGATCCCCTCCTCCAAGAGGCCGGGAACCTGCCACAGCTTTTTATGTGGGGGGCCTTTCCTAATAAGGGTTTAGGGTTTAGGGTTTAGGGTTTGGGTTCCTTTCAACGGTTGTTATAAGGATTATGGTTATAAGGGATCCATAAGGATATAATGTAGAGGCCTTATGATCATATTAGAATAGGGTCTTGGGGCCCATTATACTAGATTTACAATAAGGAATCCAAAAACGATATTGGTAATGACTAAGGCCAATATATGAATTAGAATAGTAGGGGCTACCAAGGGATAGCATTATCACATAGGTAACAGCAATATGGTATCATACCATAATTATAACTAGGACTCTAAGAGGGAGACGTTGCAATTCGTCTGTACGGCCCAGTCAGGACCGAAGAGGTCACAACTTGCAAAGGCATACAATTACAAAATAAGTTCTTACAGTATGGTATCATACGAGAAATTACAAGAGCGACTCTAAGGGGCACGCCCACTCAGAGCTGGCCTCTTCCGGAGGTTGGTGGGCCACCTTCGAAAGGGTTAACGTTTAAGTTTAGGGTTTTGTGGCTCCAGGGTTTAAGGGTCAAGCGGTTTGGTGAAACGAGTTCCGGGGAAAATCGGCTGGTGGTGGACTTGATCTTGACAAGCGTCGTGTGCCAGCTACCCTGTTTGGGGCTGCCCTCTGAGGCTTTGGACATGTGAGGAGTGATTCGGGCAGTCAGATCTCGGCTACCCACTCCAGGATCGTCAGGGCCGACTGCTTGGGACACTGTAGCGCACCAGTCTAGCTCAGATATAAGCCTCTGACAGCAAAGGACCAAAGCACGTTGGCGACATGCTGTGTACCTGGGGCTGCTTTGCATTGCAATTCCCATGCTTTCTGCAGGGCTTTGCAAGGATGTGAAAGCGGCTTGCGGCAAGCGCCTCCCAAAGAGCTCTGAGACGCAGACCCATGGCTTCGATGTTCCTGAGGCCGCAAAGCACCGCTTCTCTCGGCAACGATTCGGTCTTTTGGCCGTCGCCATGCTATCCCCCAGACCAAGCGTACCGAAGGTCCGAATCTGAAACCCGAGCTCGACACCACTGCGCCATCTGAGCAGCTACAAGTCTCGGAAGTCGTGAGTATGCTGAGTTCTATACATGACATAATCTGACAGGACACCCTAGCAAACAAGCTTCACAGCCAAACATAGCTTGAAGTGTGAAGTCCAGCCCCTGCCTTGTCTCTTGCGATTACCTACCATGTCTACTTGCCGTTCGGAATTAAACTGCAGTGTTACAGTGTTTCAAAAATACGAACGCCGCAGAATAACCAAGGATCCAGGCCTCAATGGCAACATCACTTATGAAGCCAATGAAAACAGCTCAAAGGACGCAACAGTCCCGAATCGAAGTCTGACCCTCCAAGTTCTCAGAGTCCGTTTAAAAGCTTCACTTTCCCTGCAGATCATCCCCGTGCCCCTAAGCCTGCCCTGCAATCCCCAATATTTAACCCTAAACCCTTGTTTACAAGCTCCAAACCTACAATCCCTGACAACACTCAAAGCCGTTTATAAAGCCTATACATTGGCCTACATGCCCGAAAGCCTGCGAACCTTACAAGCTCTAAACCCAACAGTGCCTGACAACACTGACTTGTTGCATCCGGTCTGCAAGAGCCTGTGCCCCTAAACCCAAACCGCAAAACCCTACACCTAAACCTCAAACCGTAAACCCTACACCTAAACCTCAAACCGTGAACTTCCGTAAACCCTACACCTAGACCTTTCCCAAGCTCCATCCAAATCTCTGAGCTCTGCGCCGGTCCTCTGCCAGCCAGGCCCCGGCGGCCCGGAAGAGCCCCGGCCTTTTTTGAGACCCTAAACCCTAAACCCTAAAGCCTAAACCCTAAACCCCAAAGCCTAAACTCTAAACCCTAAACCCTAAAGCCTAAACCCTCGAGTTTCGGGGTTCGACTTTCGACCTGCGGGTTTCGGGTTTACGGACTTAATGACTTAACGAATGGAATTATGATCAGAACGCTTTGGGGGTCTATGGTATAGTAGATCTCTCTCTCTCTCTCTCTATATATATATATATAGAGATATAGAGATATAGATGGAATAGTCTGGGTAATTCTTGAGGCTTCCGTCTTATTCGGGTTTGGGTTTACCAAGCGAAGCTGTTCGGGTTCGCATGGCGACAGCTGCAAACATTATGAGTGTTCTGAGGCGGTGTGCGAATTGTGAACGTTCAATGACTTTTCATTTGCCCGTGAAAAAGTCCCCGAGACCTTGATCCACAAGATGCATCAATCACCGACGAACCGACTGTTCTAGGCTTCGTGCTTGGGTGACTCGGAACAAGGAACCAATTGCTCCAGAATTCTGCCTGTGTAACGCCGGCGCCTTTGGGTTTAGAGAGTTTTTATAAGGGTTTCGACTCTCGCAAATTGCTGGCGGCTGAGCGTTTCAGGTCTAGGTCAAAAGATGTATTTCGGATTTGCTTCAAGTTCAGACTGGCGTGAGGGTTTAATTAAGCAATGAGAAAAACCTCATTCCACCTGCATGATGATCTGAAACGAGCACTAGCTATTCTTGCTTCTGCGAAGGTGCTCAGGCAGTCGCTCTTCACAAACGCTCCCCTCACGAAGCCAGGAGAGTCCACTCCATAGTGAACGAACCGATCTGCGGACGAGGTGGAGGCAGCTGACTCGGCTTGGTGGGCTGAGGAATGAGCTCGTGGAAGGTGCCTTTGGAGACTGCCCACACCACTGCAGACCTTAGCCAGAATATGTAGGTCATGTTGAGGTTTTGCCAACTTCAGAATCCACCTGGATTGACCCCTGCTCGGGCTAGAGGAAGGTTCAGCAGAGTGTACTCAAGCCTGGGTCACCAGACAGCTCTCTACCACTGCCCTCTCCTACCGCACGTCTGTACGTCTGTGATCTGGCTGCGCCCTGGGAGAAACCTACGAAGCCCTGGGAAGCCCGCAGCTGAGTTGCACCGAACTCATGGATCTTCTGACTCGCCTGGCGAGCTTCAAGTTGATAACCACAGAACCCGAGGGCCTGAGATTTAACGGTCCCTGGATCTGTCAGTCTCGCCACTGTGGTAATACCACGTAATACCGTTATAACTTCAGCAACTTCAGAAGATATTCTCAGAAGTAAGAGCAATCATAAGGTTGGCCGCTGCCACATCCCCTAGCTTCACCAGCGGTGGAAGCATGCCGAGCCAACGGACTGAGCCACTTGATCTGCCAGGTGCCTGTCGCTCTTACAGGGTGCAACAAGGGATTACACTCTCACAACTCGGACAAGCCAGGCGAGGATCCATGTGTTCGCAGCCGGCGTGAAAACAAGATGACTTGATGGGATTAAGGTTTTACAATGATAAAACTTAGGCCGGCTTCGGGTCGGTAAGCAGAAAACTGGGTCCGTGGGCTAAGTTGGATGAAGTTTACAGTGCAGATATAGAGCTTGTGCGACAACCTTGTTTTTCTGTGCTGAGGCATGGCCCGTACAACTTCAGTGGAGACAAGGCATCTGTTTGCCCCATGCTGCCTGTAAAGCAAGCAGAAGCCCAAATTGAAATACAAATCTCCGCTTTAAGAAGCCGCAAGTTGAGGCCTTCTGAACCGCCGAGCTCATAATACTGCATTTGGTAAATAGTGTTCACTCGTCTTCGCTAGGCTCATGAGGGCAGTTGCCAACATGGACTGCCCGAGTACCAATGCGGAGCCTGTCCGCGGCTGACAATATCACGGCGGCCCACATGAAGTTCGCGTGGTCCTGATGCTGCAGCCCCTGGGTAATCCACTCGCAGAACGTGCCTTAGGGAAGGATGCTGAGGAGATCCGAGAAGTCGTTTGTTCTTTCTGTTTTGTCAGATCACCCCCGAGCTGCAAGGCTCTGTGTGCAAAAGTCGCTGATGCTTGGGTAGTCCGGAAGCGTCAGGAACAAAACAAGAGAAGCGACTTCAAGAGTAACCAAGTCTAGCAGCTCTCCGCACGAGTAGCATCAATGAAGCTTAACAGACGAGAGCAAGCTCATAGCGACAATCCACAATAAGGGCCACTTCTGATGAGAGGTCGACTGCTCCTGTGCATTGCAGCGCCCCAGCTGCTTCAGCAGCAGTGTGCTCAATGCGGCCACCGTATTGGCCATCTGGGCATCCCCTGGCCAAACTCAGACATAATAGAAACTACATGAAAATACAGAACTAGCAGCAGTCAGTGGCAGACTAGCATTCCGAAGGCAAGTCTTACGAGTAGCTGCTCTTAGCTGTGCACACGGACGGTACTGTTATACTATTGCGACGGACCAACGTGACACAAAACATTGTGACAGGTGGCTTTAGAGTGTGTGCCCAAACGTCAAGAAATCAGCAACAAAGAACATCTGCTTGGGACAACGAAACAGTAAGAGGAACAGCAGAACAGAAAGAAGATGGCTTGGAAACACTACGAGCGCGGCGTGGTTTCATAACCCAATCACCCTTTAGATAGCCCAACCCCATGGCACAGCGGGTAGCCCAACATGTCAAGTAGATGGCCCACAACCCCAAACACCATGGCACACGAGGCTCACAAGATGCCGCATTCACCAAGAAACTTACCACTACTTGGAGATTGCCACGCCGGA